CCCCGTAACCTTGTGTCAAGGCTACGTGGCTCAATGTCTACCAATGACAAGTGAGCTAGAGTGTATATGGGCGGGATCAGGGGAGCGAAATATGACTTGGTAATGGTGGTTACTAAGTCGTTCTTTCCGTGTTTTACCTAGCATGATATGTAATCATTTAGCCTTATTTCTACTGACATTACTGCCTGTTTTACCACTTGTGGGGTGTATGAGTGGGAAGAGGGATTTTTGAGACTGGGAATTTGGGGCAACATGGCTAGCGCTGTCGCCACATACTGTGCAGGTTAGGATTTTAATTTTGCACCGGACAGAAACAAAAAATTCCACAACCTTACCGAGGTTTCGTAACCGGATTTTCCTTGTAAAAGTTCCGGGTCCTTAACCTTTCGGCCAGCTGCTAAACAGGCCGGGGTTAACAAATGGTAAATTTGAGATCATCATCATCATAGTATGTGCTCTATCCATAAGCGTAGGCAATCTTTTTTTCCCGCCATCGCATACGATCACCATAATCACGGATCATGATATTGTTCTTGTCTCGCCCATATCCATATTATACATTATTCCATGTAAACTTTCCATGGCACCTTTTACATTCAAGTTAACCGCTATCGGAACGCGGTGACTGTAAATTGCATGCTGTAGTAGTAGTAGTAGTAGTAGTAGCAGCAGCAGCAGCAGCAGCAGCAGCAGCAGCAGCAGCAGCAGCAGCAGCAGCAGCAGCAGCAGTAGTAAAAATTTAATCACAAATATCATGTTAAATCCTTCTTGGTTATATAGATGTTTCTTCTCTGTTTCGGGCTATTTATATGCATAAATTATTTTGGGTTATTAGATTTTGCATAGCTTTATGTAATAATTCTTACAGCATGTAGGAGGATACGAATAATATACTTATGTATACTTTTCAATAAATTTAAATATCTGGGAACAATCATATCATCAGATAGAAAATGTGTGACAGAGATTAACAGCAGAATATGTCAAGCAAAAGCTGCATTTCAGAAAATGAAGAATATCTTATGCAATAAATCGCTCTCATTTAACGTCAGAAAGAGGGTGCTAAAATGTTACATAGAACCTGTTCTGCTGTATGGCAGCGAATCTTGGAATGTCACTAAACAAATTAAGAAGAATTTGGAAGCAACAGAGAAGTGGTTTCTGAGACAAATGTTACCAATACCTTGGGCGGCCAGAGTAACTAACAACTATTACTTGAAAGAGACTAATGAAAGTAGATCTCTATATACAACAAAAAGAAAGAGATAAACACTGTTCTTTGGCCACATAATGAGAAGAGAGACATTAGAGAACATCGTGACAACTGAAAAGATCAGTGGAAAAAGGGGTAGAGGCAGACCAAGAGAGATGATGCTGGATGGGATAAAACGATGGCATACAGGGATATTGTGTGTGTGTATGTGTGCGCGTGCGTGCGTGCGCGCGTGTGTGTGTGTGTGTGTGTGTGTGTGTGTTATTCTCATCATTCGTCTATAAAACCACATCTCTGCAGCTTCCAAATAAGTTTTCATTAATTTACAAACTACCTACTCCCCAGTTTACCTCACAATAAAACTGAAGTGAGGTAAAGGGTATCTATGATATCGAAAGGGGGCTGGATGATCTCGAGGTATATATATATATATATATATATATATATATATATATAAATATATATATATATATATATATATATATATATATATATATATATATATATATGTGTGTGTGTGTGTGTGTGTGTGTGTGTGTGTGTGTTTGTGTGTGTGTGTGTGCGCGTGCGTGCGTGCGTGCGTGCGTGCGTGCGTGTGTGCGTGTGTGTGTGTGTGTGTGTTATTCTCATCATTCGTCTATAAAACCACATCTCTGCAGCTTCCAAATAAGTTTTCATTAATTTACGAACTATCCATGATATCCGTATATAACTTTTAAGAATTATTTTTCTCGTCTCAATTGACGAAGAAAGATTGCATAAAATATTCTTTAAAATGATCTGTAATACCATTATTCTGTCTTAAGTTATATTTAAACGTCATATCATCATCATCATCATCATCAGGTGCCTTGCCGACTGGCGTGGGCGATCATGCCTCTCCATAATCCGCGATCTCCTGCAGCATGTATCAGTTCGTGTGCCGACACACCTCCATGCCATGCAACAAGACTGTCAAGCATCTTCTCTCGTTGTCTTCCTCTATCCCTCCTTCCACAGATCTTTCCAGTGGTCACAACATGTTCTATTTTCCCTCTTCTCATAACATGGCCGAAAAATGATGACTGTCTCCTTCTGATGTAAGTGATAAGTTGTCTTCGGCCTCCCGCCTCTTTTAAAACCTCTTGGTTGCTCTTTTTGGCTGTCCAAGGTATTCTAAGCATTCTTCTGTAAAACCACATCTCTGAGGCCTCCAAAAATTGTTTGGCCTGCCTACCGATTGTCCAGGATTCACATCCATATGTTAAAACTGGATGTATGTAGCAAGCAAGAATTCTTTTTCTAACTCTCAATGACAAAGATATATTGCACAAGATGTTTTTCATTTTATAAAATGCAGTTTTTGCCTGTTCAATTCTGTTTCTTATTTCAGTTATGCATCTTCCATCTGATATCGAAAGGGGGCTGGATGATCTCGAGGTATATATATATATATATATATATATATATATATATATATATATATATATATATATATATATATATATATATATATATGTGTGTGTGTGTGTGTGTGTTTGTGTGTGTGTGTGTGTGTGCGCGAGTGCGTGCGTGCGTGTGTGTGTGTGTGTGTGTGTGTGTGTGTGTGTGTGTGAGTGTGTTATTCTCATCATTCGTCTATAAAACCACATCTCTGCAGCTTCCAAATAAGTTTTCATTAATTTACGAACTATCCATGATATCCGTATATAACTTTTAAGAATTCTTTTTCTCGTCTCAATTGACGAAGAAAGATTGCATAAAATATTCTTAAAAATGATCTGTAATACCATTATTCTGTCTTAAGATATATTTAAACCTCATGTGCTAACCTTTATTCTTCTGTTGTGTACTTCTTAATTCTTCCCTGTAGTTCTCTGGTGCCAACTATTCCCGACATGTTTTATATCATTATAGGCTTGATAAAGCGGGTCAAACAAACTATATTTGCCAATAAATTCTAAGAGTAAGGAGACCATTCGGCCCCGATTTTCGGGTGCTGTCCTAGAATTACATCTTATGTCCCGGAATATTTTTCAAGAGCTCATTTTATTATCGAATTTGTGTCCCAGAAAAACATCAAAAGAAAAATAGCGTAAGTCGTGGGACTACCTACTCCTCAGTTTACCTCACAATGAAACTGAAGTGAGGTAAAGGGTATCGAAAGGGGGCTGGATGATCTCGAGGTATGGCATTGAGTTCAAACCCCGGTGAGAGCTTTTACTGCTCTTTTTTTCCTTTACGTGTACTTCTAGTAATTTCCTCTGGCTTTTGGTAGTAAGACCGGACGTCCATGTGTATTGCTGCACACGTAAAAATTACCTTGGCAGTTGAAAAAAAAAAAAAAGAGTAGCCTAATGGCGCTCCGTGGTATTGCACCGGAGTTTGTGCACTGTGCTGAGATTCTTCAGATTCAGGCATGAGTTAGAAGTAGAACGGAGCACTTATGGGTTATACTTGTGTGCCATGATGTTGATCCGTTATATAAACACGAATATGATATCGAAAGGATTGCACAAGATAAAAGGGAATGGAATATAGACGATGAGGCCTGTGTGGCATACAATGACACAGCAGGACAGTGGTGATGCTGATGACGGTAATATACATTTTTCACGTCAGTGGCCTATCAGACATATGGTGGTAGAGTCGAAATTTCATAGACCAAGCGTCACTCGATGGGTGGGGAGGGGGGGGGGGGGGGGTCAACATCATGCCGGCCGGCGCCTTCATTTCCCAGGACATTACCTAGTATCAATTTTATTGTTTCTCAGCGTGGAAGTCAATATCATTTTTGCTAAACCTGCCATTGGCGGATAGGAAATTCAAAATCTTTTGGGATGGCAGCCTAGCGTTTATATACCACAACTTCAGACATTTATATAATCCACGTCCCTGTGTGGTTTCTGGGGCCTGTTTTAATGGGGGGGGGGGGGGGGGGGGTTGTATGAAGAGATTCACTGATTCTATAACAATGTCACAAAAGGCGTCCAAGTAAGGGGTTGCTAAAACTGGACTTGGCTGACAAAAAGGTGCAGATATCACAGCCCAGCTGTAAACCCTGGGCTTCTTTTGTTCCCTGACAGTAGGCAACGGTACCGGCACCTTTTATGTGCATCATATATGTTAGCGCTACTGTAATAGACACTTTCAGGTGAGTACTGGCACCATTTTTAAACACTGTGGTAAGTACCAGTACAGACTGTATGGACTAGGTTGGGGAATAATGATGCATCTGTGACGCTACTACAATTGCGTGACATGGGAGTAAATCTTGGTGTAACACGTCTGCGTCGTCTTGAAGTCAAGTCAGTAGACACTACAACCAACTTTTCACTGAAATATTTAGTAGAGAAGCCTTGGAGTGGCTGCTGCATCGGAGGACTAAGCACGTATGGAAATGCCCAATCTGCAGTGACGACGTTTGTGATAAAAAGCCATGAATAAACCACAACACAATTGTCCACTCCTTTCTTAATAGCCAACTCAGAAGTAGCAGAAGATATAGTTCATATAAACCTTTACATCGCACCGCTACCTACACTCCAACTGATAACAATGATAACAACCGCTAACGAACCACAAAGTCATCCTTGTATCACATACACCCCGCCCTCTTTCAGTTTCCTATCTCAATCTCACATCCAGCCCAGGTTATCTAATTTATAAACCAATGAGATGAGGCGTACTATCGTTGCTGAGATAATCGGTGGCCATCTTGTTTTTATCTGTTTTCAGTTCACGGGCTAGAGACGTCCCTGCTTCCAGCTGTTTAACTAATTCATTGCTCAATCATTCCGATTATATTATGGCAAGATCGAACATTCGATACGAAGTGGTAAATATATTTAATGTTGCTTAGCAAGTGCTGTACTTTACAGTAATGAAGATTAACTCCATTATTTACATCATAATTTCTGTAAATTTTTAGTATTTAGATTTGAGTTAGTAGTAGTAGTACTACTAGTAGTAGTAGTTTTCCGGTTTTCGTGATTTAACTATTCTACTAGATCCTCACAAATTGACAATGGCAACTCATACCCATCAAGCGCTAAACCACACACTATTACTCCATGCGACACGTAAATGCAAAGCGATAGATGCTGATGATTTCACTATACATTCATTTCGTTTAGTTTTTTTTTATTATTTAAGTAAAGATCGATGGCTATCTTCTGAAATAACAGTCCCAAATTATCGAGGCTGAAAATATTCCCTAACAGGGCCTCAGTCTCATGCCAGTTGCAGACTTCCGGCGACTTAAATTGCGCACTTCCGCCATCGCCGAGAGTATCTCAGACGCCGCTATGCGCGGCGTGGATTGGGGCTAAACTAGATGGCTGGGACTCGCGAGAGGCAGCTACCACATCTCCTGCAGCTTCCTTCATTTTATTTGCTCGTGAGTCCCAGCCATCTAGTTTAGCCCATTCCACGCCGCGCGTAGCGGCGTGGAAGATACTCTCGGTAGTGGCGGTATAGTCCCCGGAAGTCCGCAGTTGACATGTGACTGAGGCCCTGTTAGGGTGTATATTTGGCCTTGATAATTCGGGACCGTTATTCAGTGACAATATAATATTCATTTGTGATTTGTGTTTTTCTTTTAAGTGTTTTTACTGACTGGCTAATAATTTGAAATAAAACAGCTTATTTATTGACTCAACCTTTGAATTGTACAGTCTGTATAAATAACATAAACTAGGTATTGCTATAGAGGTAGAGGTAATTGATTGATTGCTTCTGGTGTATATACTATACATACTGACAAATTATAAGCAATATACAAGGTTCTTGATATGGAGTAAGCAAACACATCGGAATGTGCAAAAGTTTGTATAGGACATATAAAAGCCTAGTTAGAATAAATCAGGGAATATCTAAACCAGTTGTCTCCAGCCCTTTTCAGGTGCCTCCCACTTAAGTATATGACATGATCCCCAAGATCCACATGAGACCCCCCCCCCCCCCCCAAAAAAAAAAAAAAAACATTACAAAATTATTGTCACGAGCCCAGACTTATTTTGCTTGAATCCACCCCCGAAACTTCATCGCACCACCCAGGTTAGACCCCTGATCAAAACCATTCACAACCACATCTGAAGGAAGACTGAGATGGGACTTCTCACCACTGTTTATTACCTTCATCCACAGTGTATGCAAGGATGCCAAGAAAAAAATATTTCTAAGATCCAATAAATTACTGTTTGCCAAAGACCAGGCCTTGATAGCTGATACAGCCATGAAACTGCAACAGCAGCTAACTTCTATGAATAAAGAATGTACAAATAATAATTCGAAAATCACACTGAAAAAACAGAAGTAACGTGTAGCAGTAAAGTGCAGATGAATGAAACAGGTAACGAGAGTTTAAATATCTGGGTACAACATTCACTAAAGATGGGAAAAATTGGATGCAGTAAAGCTAACCAAGTATTGGGACAGTTAACCCCTGCCACACACACACACCCCCCCCTACAGCATAAGTCGGTCCAAATCAGCACAGCGAAACATCTCCTACAAAGCTTATTCATTTCCACTGTACGCTACCAGTGCCAGACATGGTTGCTCACAACAAAACAAAAAGAAATTAGTAACCACAGAAGTAAGATGTCTGAAAAGGGCTGCAGGAGTGATCAGAAAAAGTAAAAATTAGAAATGAGGTCACTGGAGAAAACGTCAGCACAAAACAATTCTAAATTACATACAAAGGCCGTAGGTTGAGTGGTTTTGTACTTAGAGAGAATGCCTTGCGACGCCATACCATTCAAGGCATACACCAGAAGAGGAGACAGGCATAGAGCACAGGGTAGACTAGAAACAATATGGAAAGATAACATCGGAGAAACTCTGCAACAGCACAGTGTTTCTCTTTGGTGGCCAGAAGAACAAAAAGCAGAATCTTATGTCTCCCTTATTGACACCGAAGCAGTAAAAGTGCATGGGGAAGAAGAAGATACAAGGATTTTGGTCTTGGTGGGAATATGGTCTAGGAGGGAAGCACCAACAGGGAGACAGAAAGAGCACTGATCTGATAGCTTCTGCAGCACGCTGTGTTCCAAACATATTGGTGTTATCTGTCCTTTGGAGTTAACAAGGCAGGCTGAGGGAGCAATCATGCTGCATGAGCAACACATGGTCACCACCATATATTGCCTACTTTCTGCTGTGGAGAGGAGGAACTTTATCCGTTAATTTCTCTTGTGATTTCTTGTGACGCTCATGCTTCCCTATAGCACAGATGGGGTCTCTGTGGTGAAGTGGTCAAGTTATTTGCCTCTTGCTCTGAAGGTCGTAGGTTTGCTTCACCACGGCGCCCTTCAGTTCACGAGTGCAGTTTTTACGGAGATCCCTGGGGATTGTCGCCCGAGCTACAGAGTTTGTGCTCTTCTTGACGCTTTCAGCAGGTGGCTAGCCCTTTTGTGGTGTTAGACGGAACCTATGGGATAAAATCTGGTACAATGAAGTCGATCTTCTAGAGTTTAACTTTTATCTTGTAGCATAATGGAACATTATCGTCTGGAATGATAGATAGGTGCTAACAAACAATATTCAAGAAGATGAGATAAGTTATTTTCACTGTTTGTTGTTACAAAATTTATTTAAAAAAATATAACTGACAAAACTATGTTGGATTCGTCTAACATACATTTCTTTCTCATATAACTTTTGAAGCAATGCATCTTATCTCCTCAACAGAGGTTAGTGTGTTGCTCATCAAAATGTTATTCAGCTTATCTTATCCTTTTAATTCTTTTCAAGATAACCGGGTTTATCTACCTAATGATAGCCTTTTTGTCTTTAAGGCAGTGGTTTTGAGACCTGCTGCTAGAGGTGTTCAGTGGTTATTATGGCATATTAAGACAGCAGAATTTCTTTACTTTTGATCTGAGAAGGCTAGGTTTTCATTTTCTTAAATGCATTTGTTTATTTTTTTGTTAAGCTGATGTGTTTTTTCTTCCAGTGTATACTTTTGAAGTGAAATAATATTAACAATTTTATTATATTTAAGATTGTTATTTTTTCCCCTAGCTCTCAGCCGATGAGCAGAATGTCCCTGCTGAACCGGTGGCTATGGCCATGGTTATTCCACCACCTGCATATTTAGAGAGTTCAGCTGTTGATGAACATGGAGGTCAGTAGAATTTAGCACTTTTGATTTCTCCTGCTTCTTTCTTCTGTTTTCGTTCGCTTTAAATAAATTATCTATATCTGCACTGTTATCTCTAGTAGATTTTATTTTAACTGTTAGGAGAGGCACAAAAACTTAATTTATAATTCCTATTGAAATACAAGAATTGTATGCTTCACTGTGTGTTGATGTAACGCTATAGTAACCTAGGTGACGGTGAAATACGCCTGACAATAAATTGTGCAATTCCCTGTGTGTGTTCCAGGATCCTATTGTGAGGGAAAACAAGAATAGACCCACTGCCTCCACAACAAGCATGTCATAAGAGTCAAATAATCGGGTGTTTCCTGCGAAGTTGGAGTGCATCTGCCCGAGAGGCAAGGAGCCAACATTCTGCATACAGATAAGTCAGATCTGAAAAACGGATGTGAATGCAAAGCTCAGATTCGGAAACAAGTCTGAAGTCCAGGTGTGAATGATCAACCAGAACTTTCCGCTAGAGTTTTCAGCTGTAGAATGCAAAGAAGTAGACGAATTGTGCAATGTGCTGTTTGTGTCCACATTAGTTAAATTCACTATGGGAAAACATTGTTTTTGAATATTATTATTGTTCATCCACTTTAGGTTGTTCATCCACTTTAGGTTGTTCATCCACTTTAGGTTGTTCATCCACTTTAGGTTGTTCATCCACTTCAGTTTCCCGATGCACAATCATTTTAACGATTTGGCTTATATGTATGCAGACTGTTGGTTCTTTGTTTCTCAGGCAGATGCACTCCAACCTCGAAGGAAACACTGTTGATAAGTCGACTTTTACAACATGCTTATTGGGTTATTGGGCTCTAGTGGGTCTATCTCTTCCCTCTCCTCCCCCATCCCCCATAGCTTTTGTTTAACACTAGATATTTCCTGTTATCACATTTTTACTTGTCCTAAAATATGCCATTGCTGCAAGACTCAGAAACAAAAACACAGTAAAATAACAGTGTCAACAACAGTACGTTCAAAGCCATCTCAGTAATGGTGCATCCCTCTCTTTATTGACAAACACAAGGTGTCAAATATGAATTGGTGATTACAGCACTTCAAAAGATGCCCAGACGGAGACACAACAGAGAACCCTGGCTCTTGCTATGCTTGATGAGAAGTATCCCAGCACCACTTGGACCCAGGTTTTCACCGACGGCTCTGCTACAGATGCAGTCAGAAAGGGGGGCTGTGGAAAATACATTAAACCCCCTAGCAGTAGAGCAGAAACTCTCTCTCTCTCTACCAGCAGGTGACATCTGCACTAACTTCAGAGCTGAGGCAACTGCCCTCCTTTCTGCAGTCCAACATCTCATCACTCAGGAAGGCAGAGGGCACAAAATTGTTATACTTAGTGACTCATTGTCTGTTCTCCAAGCACTATCAAGCAAAAAACAGGACAAACTAATTGCAGATCTAAGGACCAACATTGGCCTACTCTCCAAGGAAGTAGAACTGGTCTTGCAGTGGATACCAGCCCACTGTGGTATTCAAGGAAATGAGAGAGCAGATGAGTTGGCAAAAGCTGGGAGTAATCTTCCACAACCTCATCCACCACACAGCTACAAGGAAACCAAAACATCGCTCAAGCAGTCTTTCAAGCGGGAGTGGAGAAGGCAGAACGGAAATTACAGACCAGAGAGTGACAGAATAAACAAACTCAACAGGAAAGAACAAACATCAATTTTTAGACTTCGGACAGGACACTGTGATCTTCGAGCACATCTGTACAGGATAGGCATAAAAGAATCTGCCGCCTGTGATTGTGGAGCAGAAAAAACAGTCCCCTGAGCACATACTGTTTAATGAGAGTGATTTACTGCATAAGATTTTTTTCATCTTCTGAAATGCTGCCTTTGCCTGGCCAATTCTGCTCATAATTTCTTTCACACATCATCCATCTGATATTATGAATGTCTCCAAATACGTGAATTTATTGACCTGGTTATAGATTTCATTATTCATCGCAGTCTGTTGCCATTTAGACAAAACATTACAAAACCATATATCAGCTGTACCACATATTTTCAGCTTGTTATGTAAAAGTGTGCAAGCAGTTAATCTTGCCGTTTATCAGTCGTGCTAATAGTTTTCTCTTGATAGTGAAGTATTTTTCTCCACAAATGTAGTTGATAATAATTGATCTGATAGCTTGCCTCAGGTTTAAAGCACTTGTTTATCTCGTCAGATAGTTTGCTTTGCATTTTATCAGTTACAGGGCAAAGGTTGTAATGTAATCAAAGTCTCACCTGTTAATTATATTATATATTGGGTTTGTGATCTATGGGGCGGCTGGATTGTTTATTTAGATGTGGTAAAGGAGTATTCAAGAAGCTGAGGTGGCGTAAAGGCTAGATGTTCTGCCTTCGGCCTGAAGGGGGTTGGAGTTTAATCCACATGAAGTCAAATTATTTTCGAAAAATGACCTTGGCTCCTAGGTCAACCCCATCTGTAATGGGTACCAGGTGAAGTCCTGGAAAGCGAAGGCGGGTAGCTTGATGTTAACCACATCACTCATCGAGGGCCAGTTAGTCTTTAAAAATTTAAATAAAAAACAGCGACAAGGGCCGAGAAGTACGAAGATGTGCACAAAATATGTGACGCCTTGGTTAGGAAAATGCACGAGCCAGGGAGATCTGGCAAGAGACCAAGTTTCTGTTTTTGTAGGAAGGCTCTGATAGAGGTATTCTGCATAGGACTTGCTACCTGATGATGATGAAAAGGGTATTCAAGACAAGATATAATTGGCATCATTTCCTCCTGCCTGCTTTCTCCTGCCTACCTCTTCTTGCATTACTTTTATTCATCACATGTCTCTGCATCTCACCTTCACATAGAACATTTAAACAATTGTCTAGGGAGGAGCTGACCATTCTGCCTCTTATGTCGTAGCCTAGAATGTGAACAGGCCTAATATTTCACAACCAATTGGCAGTGTCTACTGTGGGAGCAAACTCCTCACAAGCATAACCCGTCAGCCATCTCTTAGAAGTAATCTCTCCTATTCCATATATATTTTGTGGAACAGTCATCAAGTGCCTTGCCAATTGGCATGGGCGATCATGCCTCTCCACAAACTGCGATCTTCAACAGCATGTGTCAGTTCCTGTGCTGACACCTCTTCATGTCATGACAAAAGGCTGTCACGAATCTTATTGCCTAATCTTTGTCTCTTTTTTCATTAGATATTTCCTGTGGTCACATATTCCAGTTTTGTTCTTCCCACAACATGACCCCCCCCCCAAAAAAAAATTATGGCTATCTCATTCTGATCCTTGTGGTATCTTCAAGCCATCGCCTCTTTCAAAACATCTTTTTTTTGGCTGTCCAAGGAATTCTAAGGATTCTTCTGGAAAACCACATCTCCAAAGCCTCAATATATTGTTTGGCTTGTTTATTAGTTGTCCAGGATTCACAGCCGTATGTTAAAACTGGCTCTGTGTAGCATACAAGAATTCTTGTTCTAACCCCAAATAATATTTTTTTGTGTAAAATGTTCCTCATTGTAAAAAACGCAGTTCCAATCTGTCCTTCCTGTTCTTCATCTCTCTCTGTAATAGATCTTCCCTTGGAAGTTTTCCGTGTCCTAGATAAATATCTGTACTTGTCCTAAAATAATACAGTTGACTTGGTGGAGCGTAATTATTTGATTTGTTAATGGTGGGGAAATCTGCAAACAAACTGTGCATGATGAAGAACCATTACCCAATAGCATGTGTGCCAAATTGGCCTAATAGTAGTTTTAGCGATTGGCACCTAAATGCATTTTCAGGGTCATTAATTTGTCACTCTACAATATGCCAAAGTCACACATGTGAATTCCTACTCCCGTGTGGGTTCCAGGGCCCTATTACAGGGAAAACAAAAATAGACCCACTGCTTACCCAAAAGCATGTTGTAAGAGTGGACTAATTGGGAGCTTCCTTCGAAGTCCGAGTGCATCTGCCTGAGAGGCAAAGAACCACCAGTCTGCATACAAATGAGTCAGATCTGTAAAACAGATGCACGCACAACACTCAGGTTCTGGAACAGGACTGCAGTCCAGAAGTGGATGAACAACTAGAACTTTCCGCCAGAGTTTACAGCTGGTGAACGCGAAGAAGATGAAGTATTACTTTTCATACAGCTACACAGTATCGGTAAAGTAATTGAAGGGCCCTTTTCCATGAATTCAGGTGTGTTTGGCAAATAGGACTAGATCCATATTGTTTATAGACCAATTGGAACTCAGTAGGTGATGTGATGAGTTTCACATTGGCCACCTTTACTTCCCAGGACTACCTGGTACCCATTCAAGGCTGGGTCGACCTTGGACCTCGAAAAACGCCCGGTTTCACAATATCGGAGAGGTGTTAATCTTCAGACGGTTTTCTAGAAAAGGGTGATTTAGCACTTAAATGACTTTGGTGTGGTGCCAACTATGTACAGTAAAACCTTGTTAACATAAATTCCAATGGATCATAAAATCAAGAGTTTGCGTTAAAAAAATTTCTTGCTCATCAGGACAAATAGATTACTGTAAAACCTGTCTGCCTATTGTCTTTGCTATTAAGCGTTGCAGGCACGGCTGATGATCAGTTTCCTGGATAGTACATGCTCGTTTGCTTGCTAAATGATGATACTGTTGAGTTTCAGCAAGTTGTTGACTTCACCTACCCATCTTCTTCTTGGCCCTCCTCTGCAACTTGATGTTTCCATTCTCATGTTGTGTGCTCTTGCTACCTGTGATGCCGGGTTCATTCCGACTGTAAAAAAACCTCATTAAACACAAACTCGATTAATATGAACAAAATTTGGGTCCTTGCAATCATGTATTATTATAACGATTAGTTCCTCCTTGGAATTCGTGCTAGTTATATTTTACTGTAATAAATATAAGTAGTCAGCTTCGCATTATTATAGAGGGGGAACTCTTGAGGCAGCAGAAATATTATATATTTAATAAACAGACAGCCAGTGTATCGACTGGCACTTGTAGAAAGATAGGACACACTAGACTACATACAAAGCTATAATTTCCATAGCTAGGCGTGCACACCATTTGGAGGTGATAGGTTCGACTCCCGGCACAGTAATTAAAACTATAGATTTTTGTGTTGTCTAGTGTGTCCTATCTTTCTACTTATTTCTGTTAGTGCTGTTCGTTTATTATGTGTATAATAAGTCAAATATTGCTGCTAGAAAACCTTTATCAGCACTTTACATTAATAGACAGTGACATAATTGTGACCAAGGGTACACAAATTCTTAATAATACATCCCTGCTGCGACTACCATTTTTTTTTTTCATATTAACCAGTGTCCTGGGGCAAAAGGTAAAATGAAACATTTTTAAAAACCCTCAAATGCGAAGAATGATGCAGCAGGGAGTGTCTGCGGGCCCTGGGTTCCACTGGAGACTTTTGGGAGATGAGTAGGTAACCAGATGACAACAATACTATCAAAGTGGAGACTGTTTGTTGAGGAGGAAGACTGAACTGAAAATTCTGGTTGTTTGTCTACTTGTGGACTTTGATCTTGATCCAAAATTTGAGTTTTGCAAGCGCATCTGTTTTACAGATCTGGCTTATTTGGATGCAGTCTGTTGTTTTCTTGCCCCCTCAGTCAGAATCACTAAAACTTTGAATGTAACACCTCTGATTAGTTGCGTCCTCCAACATGCTTGGTTTGGGGGGAGGGGGGGCTGTATCTATTCTTTGCTTTCTAAAACGAGCTCCGGGACCCGCACAGGAAAATTGGTCTGGGGAGGAGATTTGATGTGAGAGGGATCTGGCCATCGCATCTTTGATGTCGTCATGGCCTTGAATATGTGAAAGACAAAATCATACACCCCAAAGGCGTAGTAGGTGCTTTGGGACTACTTTGACTTGTCATATGGTTTCATTTTGTATACACCATATCTTTGCCAGACAATCCCATCTACAGTTCAGCCAAGCTGCCCAACTATGTGGAAGCCACATCCTTGCCTTCTTATGAAGAAGCAGAGAGGTCAAAGGTGGAACAAGAGGCAGCAGCTGCTGCTAGTGCTGGTGTACATGGACTGTTAGAGTGTGAGAGAGGCAGGGTAAGATGTCTTTATCATCATTGTCTTTAATGTGCTTGTCAGAGTGTTCAAAGCTATATACTGTCTTAAGATTAAAGTGGAGAGCATCAGCTTCATTGCACTGGGAATTAAGTCTCTCTGCAGAACATCTTGCTGCCTGCCAACAAAACAAGAACTCCATAGTTCCGATGATCGCCAGGAATCACCGTAAAAACTGCAATTGTGAACTGAATGATTCCGTTTGTTGCTTCTGGGGCCCCATTGTTGGAGAAAACACGAGCAGACCCACTGCTTCCCTAACAAGCATGTTGTAAGAGTCGACTAATGAGGGGTTTCTTTCAAAATTGGAATGCAACTGCCTTTTAGGCAAGGAACTAACAACCTGCATACAAATAAGCCAGATCTGTAAAACTGGTGTGTACACAAAACTCAAGTTCTGGAACAGGACTAAAGTCCAGAAGTGGAACAAAAAACCTCAGAACTGTCCATCAGAGTTTACAGCTGGTGAACAAGAAGAAAAGGAGAAGAACTGAACAGTGCATCTCTTAAACAAACCCACTAGCTTCAGAACATGAGGCAATCTTAGAAATGTTTTAACAGTGTGGAGAAAAGGCATATTGTTTTCGTTGCTACTTCATAACTTCAGTAAATATGTGATTTTCGATGGTCTTAGACAACCCCTTGTGAAAGGGCTGTGAGACCCCCAGGTTGAGAACCGCTGAGCTAGATGAAAGATGCTAACTTGTATCTAAGAATTGTGCTGTTTGTGTAAAAGATAAATAGGCAGAAATGATATAGACAAGACAGGCAGTGTGAGAGTGGCAGGGTAACAAACATATCTGTATCACCTATCATTACTGTGTCGGATTGGACAGGGTAACAAACATATCTGTATCACATATCATTACTGTGTTGTATGGGGCAGGGTAGTAAACAGCTCTGTATCACATATCATTACTGTGTTGTATGGGGCAGGGTAGTAAACAGCTCTGTATCACATATCATTACTGTGTTGTATGGGGCAGGGTAGTAAACAGCTCTGTATCACATATCATTACTGTGTTGGATGGGGCAGGGTAGTAAACAGCTCTGTATCACATATCATTACTGTGTTGGATGGGGCAGGGTAGTAAACAGCTCTGTATCACATATCATTACTGTGTTGGATGGGGCAGGGTAGTAAACAGCTCTGTATCACATATCATTACTGTGTTGGATGGGGCAGGGTAGTAAACAGCTCTGTATCACATATCATTACTGTGTCAGATGGTGGCAGGGTGATAGACAGCTCTGTATCACATATCATTATTGTGTCAGATGGGACAGGGTAATAGACAGCTGTGTATCACATATCATTACTGTGTCAGATGGGACAGGGTAACAAACATATCTGTATCACCTATCATTACTGTGTCAGTTAGGACAGGGTAACAAACATATCTGTATCACATATCATTACTGTGTCAGATGGGACAGGGTAACAAACATATCTGTATCACATATCATTACTGTGTCAGATGGTGGCAGGGTAATAGACAGCTGTGTATCACATATCATTACTGTGTCAGATGGTGGCAGGGTAATAGACAGCTGTGTATCACATATCATTACTGTGTCAGATGGGACAGGGTAACAAACATATCTGTATCACATATCATTACTGTGTCAGATGGTGGCAGGGTAATAGACAGCTGTGTATCACATATCATTACTGTGTCAGATGGTGGCAGGGTAATAGACAGCTCTGTATCACATATCATTACTGTGTCAGATGGTGGCAGGGTAATAAACACACCGTTATCCTATATCATTACTGGATTGGATAAGGCAGGGTAATAATAAACATATCTTTATCACAAATCATTAATGTTTCAGATGAGGCAGGGTAAAAAAAAATATTTTAATCATAATCTTTACTGTGTCAGGTAAGACAGGGTAATAAATATCGGCTCTACTTGCAGATTTGGCCGGCAAGCTGGACGGCGTCGGTCGGCTTAGTGGGAGTTATGTCCCTTCGCCAAACTCAAAACAAGTCGCGGAAAAAGTCACGAATCAAATGACATACTTACCTATCATCATCCGGGTGTGTGTAGAGTTGCGTATGGTTGCGTCTAGGGTTACCTTTCATCCTACGGTTGCGTGTAAGGCTGCGTACAGTGTCTATCATCGTCCTACGGTTGCGTGTAGGGCTGCTTATTGCGCGTAGGTTGGTTGTTTGCGTAAGATGAGGGTTAGGGTCAGGGTTTAGGGTTAGGGGTATGGTTAGATGCGAAAGTTTTCACGTATTAGGTCGAAATAGTGGCCGACAATCTGACCCTTGTGGGAGTGGCGCCACTGAAACTCTGCCAAATATGACGCCAATAGCAGGCGGCTGGTGCCCAGTCGCTGGCGAATTGTTCGTTTCACTAGCATCCACAGGCCTTCGATTGTGTGTGTATGTGACTGCGCGACGTCGACGAAGTTGGTCTGGTGGACTACTACCTTGGGCAGATAGATGCCATGCCTTAAGTTTGCGACGTTGCTGTAGCCTCACCAAGCGTCAGTCACAATGGTCGTTCCCGGCAGTACGTGATCTGTTATGATCCTCTGCAATGTCGCCGCATCTCGTTTTCGCACAAGCTCCAAGTAGCAACGGCCAGTCCCACGCTCTACTAGCCCGACGACCCAACGACCGTGACGGATGCGACCGTGCTGATACTTTCGTCGGAAGAAGTAGCTCTCGTCTACTTCGACCACAATAGATCTGCCGGTCTCATCGAGTCCTCCCAGCTCCACGGTGTGTCTCAACATCCAATTATAGCATTCCTGACGGAAATAATTGTTGTAGTTGACAATGGTGGACCAGCACGTGAGTCTCTCGAAGACCATGACAGTTGTTGAACTTACGCAGGAGAGTCAGTAGTACATCATCATGACTATTTTCTCGGTCGGCATGTCGCTGTTGGCGAAAAAGGACCCCGTGCGAACGCTACACCGAGTATCACAGCGATGACAACGCCAACCGTATCTGTCGCTACAGTGCTGGCGAGGCGCTAGCGACATAGGTCGGTTGCACGAGCTGCACAGTTGTATATTCCTTATAAGACTATGCTCAGCTAGCCACCGCAACCACGCATACTTGTCAGACATTAATGCATACAGATCTGCAGGAGTTACGTCCGTGGCAACTAAGTCGTGCGTCGCAAGAACGTTGTTGGTTATGTGTGTGGGAGCTCTCTGTCTAACTGCCATTTTGATGTTGTTGTTTGATTCGTGACTTTTTCCGCGACTTGTTTTGAGTTTGGCGAAGGGACATTACTCCCACTAAGCCGACCGATGCCGTCCAGCTTGCCGGCTAAATCTGCAAGTAGAGCCTCAATATCTTTATCACATATCATTACTGTATCAGATGGGACAGGGTAATAAACATCTTTATCACATATCATTTCTGTGTCAGATGGGACATGGTAATAAACATATCTTTATCATAATCTTTACCATGTCAAAGGGGCAGGGTGACTTCAAGTATCTAGGAAACAGTATTATCCGATAGAAAAAATGGAAGCAGTGATAGAACATAGATGTTATAAAGCAAATCAAATAAGTCGATAGATGTCACAAATTTTACCCAACAAAGGTGTAACAATTGACACCAAAAGAGACCTGTTCAGTACACTAATTTTTACCAGCATTGTTTTACCGCTGCCAACAAGGACATTAGCAATAATAGAAAAGAAAAGAAAAATTGAAACAACAAAAATACATACAATGCATCCTAAATGTAACAAGAAGTCACAGGATCAGAAATAACAGTATCAAGAAAGAAGATGTGGCAGAACCATTACTAAACTACATCAGGAGACAATAGATCAAATGTGTTCAGACTACTAACAGTTAGTGCACCACAGAGAGCTATATCACTTAGACATAATGGAAGCAGAACCAGAGGTTGACCTTGTAAGTGATGGATAGATGGAATATCGGAGGCTGTATATATCAGCACCTCCATAGCACATACATACCAAGGCTTGCAACCGATGCTGAGAGGCAGAACAGGACACAAGAAGAAGAGCTATAAGAGGCCAAAGCTGCTGGACTAGATTCCACCCATGATATAAAAAGGACTGCACCTGATAGAACGGAATGGAGGAAAAGTCATTATATGTGGTACATAATGGTGCAGCAGGATGGCAGTGATGAATGAATGGAGATATGGTGCTGGCCTGATGTTTGTATAAACTAATCTGTACTCCATCAATATGGTAAATATTTTTTTTTTTAAAGTAAACCTGTGCTTCCCCAAACTGGTTCTAGTTGTAGAAAAAAAATTTCAAACTTTCTCCTCGTTCAAATGGCTAGATGCCCTGACTTCTTCTTCGTGTTCACCAGCTGTAAACTCCGGTGGCAAGTTCTGGTTGTTTGTCCATTTCTGGACTGCAGTCCTGTTCCAGAACCTGAGTGTTGGATGTGCATCCGTTTTACAGATCTGACTCATTTGTATGCAGACTGCTGGTTCCTTGCCTCTCAGGCAGATGCATTCCGACTTCGAAGGAAGCTCCCATTTAGTCGACTCTTGTGACATGCTTTTGGGTAGGCAGTGGGTCTATTCTTGTTCACCCTATAACAGGGCCCCGGAACCCACACGGGGAAGATGCCCTGTTATACTGAGGAGGGTTGTCTTCTTTGCTGTCTTATTTGTATTCTAATTATTTGTGGTGTGCTGTTATTACACCTGAGTTTCCTTTTTCTTGGTCTTCCATGTCTGCTGTGGTCTTGTGGGTCCCGTTATGGTCTGGTCTTCTTCTTTTCCTGTTCCTGTGGGTATTTGCTGATACATGGCTTGTCGTGCGTCTGTTGCTGTGAGGGAGCCACTAGGGCTGGGAGCCGAGCTCCTTCCCCAAACTTTTCCTGATACCTACTTTATACTGGGCCCCCATACTGAGTCCTCCATGTATTTGATAGATATTCAAACATGTTTCCACTTGGCACGCAAGCAGGTGTTCTTAGTTCTAGTCACGGTACTATCACTTCTGCTACCACCCCCGTGTGGGTTCCGGGGCCCTGTTGTAGGGAAAACAAGACTGGACCCACCGCCTACCCAGTGTCATGTTGTGAGAGTTGACTAAGTGGGAGCTTCCTGCGAAGTCGGAGTGCATCTACCTGAGAGGCGAGGAACCAACAGTCTGCATGTAAATGAGTCAGATCTGTAAAACAGATGTGCACAGAACACTCAGGTTCAGGAACAGGACTACAATCCGGAAGTGGATGAAAAGCCAGAACTTTCCACCAGAGTTTACAGCTGGTGAACGTGAAGAAAAAAAGACTTCTGCTACCACTCTTACCGAGGGAGAACGACTTAGATAAAAAAGTGAGGACTATAAATTTTGTTGTTGATAGTTTTTCACACTGTTGTGTTGTATTTTTGCAGCTTTCAGGGGCAGATAGTTTGTCAGAAGTGGCCATTGGTACAGATGGAATGTACATATGCACTTTCCTGAGTAAGTAGGATGTCCTCTGAATTTTATGTTGTACAGACTAGATCTGGCTGGTGTTAACTCTCGTTTAGTGGTCTTCATGGTCAAGTGGAACTCTCGTTTAGTGGTCTTCATGGTCAAGCGGAACTCTCGTTTAGTGGTCTTCATGGTCAAGCGGTTAAGCTGTTTCTCTCCAAAGGTGTGCTGCAAAAGCCCTTGAGTTGTTCCAGACTCCATCCTTCATGAGTACAGATGTTTTAGAGATCCTAAAGAACATACTAACAATTTTTAAAAAAAAAACTGTATTGGTCATACTAGGATTTCAATCTATTACCTCCAAACAATGACCACACCTCTCTGTACCTATATGAGTACTTTCGCACATGAACAACCAAAGTTAGTTGTGGATCTTTTACAGGACGTTACTCACCAGCTCCGCATTTGTTAGCTGTTCAAGAGTTTATAATAGGCAATTAACTTCACATTCAGTAGTTTACCATTGCCTGCTCAACAGTTGGTGCTACATGCCCTTGTCAAATCAATGCAAAGTGATCTGCTGCCAAATGGCTAACAGCTGGATCTACTAGGTATTTTGGAATTACAAACTGTGTTTGCCACCCCTGTGAGCAGTGCCCACATGACCAACTAAACACCCATTGCCTTCTGAACAGAGAGTTAGCATTCATTTGCCAGCTCTGGTCTTTGTCATGAACCCTAATCCATCAGCTGGTCCTTTACGGAACGGCACACCTGAAAGTGTCTCATGCTGTAGCCAATTCTCCAGCCCTGTGTGCCAGTGCATCTAGTGTCCTCCACCTTCATGGAGGTTTGTCTATGCCTCATTTTCTGGAAAGTACCCTCTATCAAACTCTAGGCCACCATGACATTCAGCCTGGCCAAAATACCTCAGCTTTCAGGGCAAGCTATTTTTGAACTCAGCTATGGAATGTGGATAGAATGTGTCTCTAACCATTGAAAATGCACCACAGAAACAGTGCCGATCAAGACTTGTAATATTGTGATTGTGTTTTTGTCTAAGGGAAGTAGTGTGTGTCCTATATAGAACCAGTTTTGACATGTGACCATGAATCCAGGACAAATAATAAGCAGGTGAAACAATTGCTTAAAGCCTCGGAAATGTGATTTTACAGAAGAATTCCTTGGGCAGCCAAAAAGGACAACCCAGATGTTTTAAAAGAGGTGAGGGTCCGAAGACAACTCATCAGAAAGAGACAGTCATCATTTTTGGAACGTTTTGTGACCACTGATGAGATCTTTGGAAAAGCAGACAAATGAAGACATGACCCCTAGAGGCCACTGATCATTTCCAGTTGTATTGTATTATAAATCTTTCTACGCCGGAGCTTTGGGGTCTGCCTCATAGTGATCCCTGTTTTAAAAATTGTGGCTCCTGATTCAGCTTAGTTGAATAACCTTAATGTGGGTGATAACAAGCAAGATGCCCTGAAAACTATTTTTATATATAGTCAACTGATGATAACACGTGACAGTAGCTACTTAATCCAGTTGAAAACAGCTGTAAAATCCAGTGGTGAAGAAGTAAGGCTATAGGGATAGGGCTTGGCACCAATTGGTTGAGAGTGTGCATGCTTTACTGGGAAGGGAAAGAGAAGTAGGACTTCTCCATGTGGTTTCCGGGGGCCCCTGTGTGTGTGTGGAAAAGGTGGGGGGGGGGGGGGGGGGGGGGGGGAGAACAGACTCACAGAACAGAGCATGAAGAAAAAGTAGGACCAAGAAAGTGTAATTTTTCTCTAAATCCTGGGACAATCTTTTCCCATTTATTGGTCCGTGAAACAGATTTAAGGGGTTTGTGATACCATTTACAAATGGACCCTCAACTTTACAATGAAATCCTTTGTTTTAAAGTATGGGGCGTCCATAGCAGATCTTTGAAGATAACAGATGTTTGCAGGTCTTACTAAGTTTATTGGAAACCACTGACCTAGGATAAAGTAATGAAAAGATGAAACTAGGTCAGTGTGGTATTGATAATGGTCTTTTTGTGTTCCAGTATCCTTCCTTTTCAACTGGCTTGGTTTCCTGCTGTCGCTGTGTCTCTCCAACACCGTGGCAGGCCGCTGTGGTGCCCTGTCAGGTCTGGGCCTGTCAATTGTCAAATGGGTCGTGATTGCTAAGGTAAGAGAAAGGGTATACATAGAAGGTGCACAGTTCATGTTGAACTGACTGACAGGCTGTTGTTTTCCCCTCCAGCAGAGAAAATCAGGTGTTAAAGAGAAAGATTCAACACAGAACCAGTTCTAAATTATGTACATAGACAGCAAATCAAATGGACTGCCCACTTAAAGAAAAGAGAATGGCTTGTGCGGAGCATACCATACAAGGCATACACTACAAGAAGAAAAGGGTGTAGATCACAAGAAAGACCAAGAATAATATGGAAAAATTAACACAGAGAAACTCTACAACAGCATGGTTTGTTTGGTCAGGGCGGCTCAGAAGAGCAGAACCTTATATCTCCTTCGACACCCGAAGCTGTAAAAGAAGAAGTGAATAGGAGGAGAGAAATACATAATTTCATAGATATATGCATACGTATATAATATTCATTCACATAGACAAACATACATTTGCTTCGGGCAGAAGAGCACAGGGCACATTGGGGAGGATACTAGCTGTACCCTCATACTAGGAAATGGAGTCTGAAAACTTAATATTATGACGAGGCATACCAGGCCCATAGGCTTGGCAGACATCTGGTCTAGGAGCAAAGCTCCAGTAGGTGGACAGACAGCTCTGATCTGGCACCTTCTGCAGCATATTAGTGATACCTATCCTTTGGAGTAAAACAAGGCAGGTAGAGAGAGGGATCAAGCTACATGGACAAAGTCTTGCTCTGGGGATCACACCATGGGCCTCACTTTGGAAAATCACCTAATCCACAGCCTAGGTGTCATCAATATCCAACACACCTTCAGTTTTACTATTATCATAATTGTAATTCTTTTCTTTTCTTTAATTTTATTACTTTTTTCTGTCTCTTATCAGTATCATATTTGTATCCTTAACATATGTATATTTTTTATTTCTACTGTTATATAATATATTAACAATATTGCTTTTTATTTTTGACGACTATATATTTTTAGCTGTTGTTTATTTTATGTTATTTCATTCACTCCACATCACATTTTTTAAACGTTGCTCATGTCACCCCTTAGAGATCCGAAAACTCTATGTTTTGTTACTCTTGTGTAGTTCACTTCATGTTTGACAAAGGCTGCATGCCGAAACATTATTTGTGTTGTTTTGTGCATGTTTTTCTGCTTCCCTATTTGGTTAAGCTTTTTAGTCACATTTCACTGGAATTACATGGGCAACACATGGCCTCTACAGTACTGCCTAGGTTTTGTGCTTAGGAGAGGAAGAAGATCCCTAGCCTTAATTGATCTTGAAAATAGTAGGTAAGCAGGTCTTGCTAGTCACACTTGCCATCCCTTATGACTCCCATGCTTCTATGTGGTAAAATATATCACTATGATCTGGAAAAACAGAGATGTGCCAGCAACAACAGTGTACAGGAGTACACCTTCTCCTGGGCTTACAAAATATGGCTTATGACCAACTGCATTTGCAACTAAAAATAATAAAGAAAGATAACTAAATTGGTAAGGTCAGAATATTCCAAGAACTGACATTGTAGAGCACATATTGTGTATTTGTCACAGTATGTGCAATAATGATATGTACATAGATTGCATTTTTGTGTTTTGTTTAGTTTTTACAACCAGTTTAAATTACAATGATGTCGAAAAATATGACTCTCAGCCTGGTAGTCGGAAAGGAACTTGGCCCAGACAGAGAGAGAGAGAGCATTCTCTCAATAGATTCAAATATGTTGCAGTAATGTGACCAGCTTGTGTGTAATGAATGTGTTCTTTGCCCCACAGCACAATAACTGGGGCAACAGTGTGGCAGATGCGGACTCCTGGCTCTGGTGGCTGCTCGTCCTCTGTGGTATGTAGTCCCTTTTAAACCGTGTTCCCATTATTGTGATAAATGTATAGATACTTCAGTTTGATGAGAAGCTGTGACAGACACCTGTCGGCTGACCAGATATATAGATATAGATACTGCAGTTTGATCAGCTGTGACAGCCCCTGTCGGCTGACCAGATATATAGATATAGATACTGCAGTTTGATCAGCTGTGACAGACACCTGTTGGCTGAACAGATATATAGATATAGATACTGCAGTTTGATCAGCTGTGACGGCCCGTCGGCTGACCAGATAAATAGATATAGATACTGCAGTTTGATCAGCTGTGACAGACACCTGTCGGCTGACCAGATATATAGATACTGCAGTTTCATCGGCTGGGACAGACACCTGTCAGCTGACCAGATATATAGATATAGATACTGCAGTTTGATGAGAAGCTGTGACAGACACCTGTCTGTCAACGGTCTGTAAAAATATAGGTGCTCTTCCCATATGCCCAATACGCCTAAAGGCGTGAAAAGGGATCTTAACTTTACTATCTTCTGTGATGATCTTCCTGGAGTCACTTGAATACAAAATGCTCTCAGAGCCAGATGGTGCAGACTGAAACAAAACAAAAAAATCACAAATTTCATTTAAAAAATGAATTTTGTAAACCGATGGAAATGACCACTTTTACTACTAACCACAGTTTCTGTGAAATATTCTGTGAATCGGTACTGGTTTCACTTTTGAAAAATTGTCATTGCATTAAACTTATTTCACAATCCGGTCACTTGTGCTTATCTGAATACACAAATTTACTCTATGGGTTCTGGGACCCCCATTGTTAGGGTGGTGGTGGGGAGGAAGGGGAGGAGATAAACCCATTGCCTTAAAGAGTCAACTAATTAGAGGTTTTCTTTCAAAATCTTGAGTGTATCTTTCTGAGAGGTGAGAAACCAACAGTCTGTATACACATAGCCAGATCTGTAAAATGGATATGCATGCATAACTCAAGTTTTGGAACAAGACCAAAGTCCAGAAGTGGATGACCAACCAGAACTTTCCGTCAGAGATTACAGCTGGCGATGGTGAAGAAGAAGAATACACAGCTCACCACAGACAAAATCAAACGTGTGTGTTCATTTTTTTAACAATTTCTCGTCAACATTTGTTTGTTTGTTTTGATTTCAGGATTCCTCATGTTTGTGAGAGGGTCAGTCCAGTATGTCAGAGTCAAATATGAATGGGCTCGTTTCAGTGGTCACTTTCATCATTTTCGCCTGATTTAGGCACTGAAAGCCATATTCATTAGGATGTAACAGATCCTTGCAGTGGCTTTAAGAGAGCTTGCTGTGCACCGATGATAATACTAACTCACACAGTACTTCTGTCTGTTGGGTTTTATATTAAATTTACTCTGGAATAAAAAGCCATACTTGATTTCTTTAATGAAGTTCCATGTTGTATTGATATCTTTGTAATTGTTTGTCATACATTTCATCTAGAGCATAGATTACCAGACATATTGGGCCTGCTGTCCCCCTTTTTAAATTACACACCTTTCTCCAGCAAATCTACCTTCTGTAATTGAAAAATGCAGTAATCACTATGAAAAATTAAGTAATCAGTACAGTGCAGACCTGGTAAGGAGAACTCACCAGGGGCCCAAGAAGTGGTTCTTCTTATCAGAAATTCCTCTTATACAGATAAGAGAGTTCAGGCAAGAAAAATTGCAGGGGATAACAGATTGTTCTTCACAACAGAAATTTGCCACATATGAGATCGCCTTAAGCGGTATGTACTGTATAGATGAGACAAGTACGGACAGTTTTTCAGACTTTTCTCTTCTTTTCCATTGTATTTTAAAGTTTTATTCCATAATTTTGCACCTGAAAATACGAAACCTCTCCTGATCATAACTTTTCAGATTACAACAGTGGCTACTGCCACTTCCTGGTTTGTTCCAGCAGTAAGCCCTAACAGGTCTAGAGAAATTCCTGTTTAGTTAGACCGGGCCACAGCCATGTGCTTACCATTGTTATCGAGTAAATTTATTCACAAATTATAGTTTAATTAACTTGCAACATATTGTTTTTTGGAATAAATTATCATTATGAAGAAAAATAAGTGAGCCATTAGAAAATAGAATAATAATAATAAAATATAACCGGGAAGGCTAACCCAGTCAACAAATGCCCGCAGAAGCCGGATGTGTTGGCCGAAAGGTGCAAATATCGCAGCCATGCTGTAAACGGACACAACGCAATTACATTTTCGGATGAACGCAGAAGAAGAAGAAGATAATAAAATATTCAATAAAATATGTTGTAAGTTGTTTAACTGTATTTTTAATTTGTGCATGAATTTACTTGATAACAGTGGTGAGTACAGACGGGCCTAACAAAACAAGAATTTCCATAGGCCTGTTGGGTCTTACTGTTGGAGCTGGCCATGGTTCCACTGTTCCCAAGGGGCGTAATGCCCTCTTTAAGAAACTATGATCTATTGTTTTGTGTTAACTGAAATTTGTCTAATATAAGCTGTTTATTTCTTCATGAAACACTTTTTCTCTGCTGTTTGTTCACATTTTTTTTAAGGAATAATTTGTCCTAGACATTCTTTTTGGTAACATGTTGTTATTGGGTTAATTTTAACTGTTTGTCATATATGTCATCTAGTACATAGACGGATTGGAAAAAATTATAGCAGAAGGCATGGCACCAGGAAGGAGAGGCAGGGGCCGATCAACACGAAGATGGGCACAGGATATAAATGACACTGTGAGTATGAAAGTTCATAAGGCGGAAGAGCTAGCGAGAGACTGAGTTTCTTTCAGACACACTGTGATGAGAGCGACGTTCTGCAAAGACCTGCTACATGATGATGACATAGATTCCTAAATATGTTGGCCTGCCATCCCCCTATTTAATAATTTAAAAAAAAACTATTGCCACAGATTTTCTTCCAAAATCTACATTCTATAAGTATAGCTGGGACAGATACAAAATCTGTTCACACTGTTTTTCTCTTCTCTTCTTTTATTAGTTTTCCATCGTATACTTCAGTTTTATGCCCCAATTTTGTGCCTGAAGATACCAAACCCCTCCCGATTGTAACAGTCTTTTACATTGCAGTCATGACTACCGCCACTTCCTAGTTTTGTACTACTGTCCCCAGGAAGTTGTATCACCTTCTTTGGGAAACTATATGGTGTGTTTTTTTTTGTTAACTAGTTTTGTACTACTGTCCCCAGGAAGTTGTATCACCTTCTTTGGGAAACTATATGGTGTTTTTTTTTTTGTTAACTAGTTTTGTACTACTGTCCCCAGGAAGTTGTATCACCTTCTTTGGGAAACTATATGGTGTTTTTTTTTTTGTTAACTAGTTTTGTACTACTGTCCCCAGGAATTGGTATCACCTTCTTTGGGAAACTATATGGTGTGTTTTTTTTTGTTAACTAGTTTTGTACTACTGTCCCCAGGAATTGGTATCACCTTCTTTGGGAAACTATATGGTGTGTTTTTTTTTTGTTAACTAGTTTTGTACTACTGTCCCCAGGAATTGGTATCACCTTCTTTGGGAAACTATATGGTGTGTTTTTTTTTTGTTAACTAGTTTTGTACTACTGTCCCCAGGAATTGGTATCACCTTCTTTGGGAAACTATATGGTGTGTTTTTTTTGTTAACTAGTTTTGTACTACTGTCCCCAGGAATTGGTATCACCTTCTTTGGGAAACTATATGGTGTGTTTTTTTTGTTAACTAGTTTTGTACTACTGTCCCCAGGAATTGGTATCACCTTCTTTGGGAAACTATATGGTGTGTTTTTTTTGTTAACTAATTTTTTTCCCATAAAATGTTAATTTCTTGATAGAACACTTTTATCTCTGCTGTTTCTTAGCAATTTTTTTTTTTAGTAATAATTTTGTTGTAGACATTTTATTGTTAACGTTTTGATGTTAAATTGAATTTTTTTTTGTTTAACATTTTTATTGTTTGTTGTATTGGTATTGTGGAGCATTTTGTTTGCTATTTTCTCTTGATACTTTGTTGTAACAACAGATTGCACTGATTCCAGGGTGCTGTGCGTGTTGTGTTATAAATTGTTGTCGCAAGTTAATTTACGACATTTTTAAACAGAAAATTATTGAGTGTCATCACATTCGCTGTGTGCATCGTCTTCTTTTTACCTGCATTTGTTCTGAGTCTTTCATCTGTGTTATTGCACAGGATTTATTCTGTATATAAGCCTTGGCTCCCAGGTTCGCCCAGCCTGAAATGGGTACCAGGAAATGTCACGGTAAGTAAAAGTGGCTAGGTGTGATGATGACCCCCATCACTCATTGGTTGGTCTAAAAAAATATTGGTCCAGCACAATATCCCTGATGCGTCAGAGGCATTAAAGGGGTCCATTACTTTTGAGCTGCAGAGATGGCAATTGTAGGATCTGCCAATTACTGCTTTTATTTACCACTTCTGCAGTAGAGGGGGTGGGAGGGGGGTCTTTGATCCTGAGAATATAAGGCCCCAGTGGCTAGTGCTGTTGCCACAACTGTGCAGATGAGGATTTCATTTTTCCCCCAGCAGAAAAAATCCCTAGCCTTACCGAGGATTCGAACCCGGGTCTCCTATGGCAATTGTAGGATCAAAGAAAGGAAATAATGTCTGCATTATCTTTAAAATATATTTTGCATTCCGTTTTTCTCCCTTTTAAATGAAGGAATACATTTATCTTTTCTTTTTCTTATTTGGGTAACTCCTGGGTTTCCTCACTAATTACAGTAATAGAAGGCCTAATCAATTTTGCTTTGGTTTGCCTTTTTAAACTGTTCTGTGTCTTAGAGTTAGTGAATGCGTTCAACAGTTTCATGATCCTCAAGTTCTACAACTTGATTTCAGGGTTGATGGTTTATTTAAGATTGCTGTTTTACCCATTGTTTGTTTAATTTTTTCATCACTTTTTTAATTCTTTTAATATTTTCATATAACAGTGCAATCATGAAAATTAGTAACCACAAAAATGAGATGTTTGAGAATGCTGCAGAAGAGATTTTTAAAAAAAAAGGTCAGAGATAAAAGTTAGTTTAGAACCACAACTAAATTACTCACAAAGACAACAAATAAAAGTTGTTGCATATTTAGATGGAATACCTGATAGAAATGCAGACATTCTAGAAGATCTGAACATCAGGAAAGATTGGCTAATAAACAGCATCTTGTCTTGGAAGCAAACATAATTTGACCATATCAACCGCCACGGCCGATTGGGAAAAAACAATAATAGCAGAATGCATGGTACCAGGAAGGAATTGCAGGGGCTGACTAACACAAAGATGGGTACAGGGTATTATTGATTCCTAGGGTATGAAAGTGCATGAGGCCAGAGGGCTGGCGAAAGACTTAGGTTTTTCCCACCAGGCACACTATGATGAAAGTGATGTTCTAGAAAGGACCTGCTACTTGGTGATGCTATGCAAGGTATAAAGCAAAAGAGGAGAGGGCCTGATGTAGACCAAGAACTGTGTGGACAGATAACATCAGAGAAACTATACAGAATTTCTGGTGTTTGTCATCAAGGAGAGCAAGAACCCCAAATTTGAAGAATTTCCATCAACACAACCAAACACACACCCCTCCCTCCCCCCCCCCCCCCCCCCCTCTATGATATCACAACATCTGACTTAAGAATGAAGGTGGTAACTGCAGCTTTCCGCTGGTTAGAGAACACGATACACGCACATAGTGATTGTAACTGACTCAAAAAGCATGCTTGTGGGGACAGGCATGCTTCAGAGGATATGGGTGAGGATAATTGTTTGGATCTTTCCTCCCGTATGCTGGTGTGTTGGGAAATGAACAGGTGGACAGAATGGCTGGCTCTGCACAACTTGCTGGAATACTGATGCTTGATAAGGCAGGCCTTATGGGAGTATGTGTACAATCCAGAGGAATAAAGGACCATCACAGTAGTGTGAGAGTGATGCAGTGAGGAGTCACAGGGAGATCTGGCCGATACTCGACTCTCAGAGGAAGGGCAAGATGGGCATGTAATCAGACTGCTACTGGCACCATTAGTACTGGAACTCTGCACTGGCTGCTGAAGATGGGGACGGAGTGCTTATAGCAATGTCCTAAGCACTGTGAGGTCGGTTTTTTAATCAACTCAACTCGACACCCAAAACGATACGAAGAAGATAAAAATTTTTTTAATGGTATTGTAATGGAAGTTTTTAAAATTTGTAATGCCTGCTGGGAGCAAAAAAGAAACACCTGCGTAATTCCTGGTGACT